AAATAGATAGAGATATCACTGGGGAAAGTAGAGAGAATCAGGCTGAAGGTCTGGTTGTTAGGGATAGAATAGATAAAAGAGAATTTGATAGTGGTAGATCTAAATCTAGATCTAAACCCAGACATAGAAATTTGGAATGCAGATATTGTCATAAAATGGGGCACATTAAGACTGATTGCTTTAAATTGAAAAATAAATTAAAGCAAAAGGGAAAACTTGTTGAGAAAACTACTGAGTCCGCTGAAGCTAGTGTAGCATCTGATGAGAATGTTGAAAATATTTTCTTTGTTACTGATGACAGGACGATGTCTAAAATTGAATGGATTTTAGATTCTAGTTGTTCATATCACATATGTCCCAATAGGGATTTGTTTTCCACATATGAATCTTGTAATGGTAGAATTGTTTTGATGGGCAATAATGTCGCATGTGATGTTGTTGGTAGAGGAACAATCCGAATTAAAATGCATGATGGTATTGTGAGGACGCTCACTAATGTTAGACATGTTCTTGATTTAAAAAAGAATCTCATCTCTTTAGGCACCCTAGAGGCCCTTGGGTGTAAATACACAGCTGAAGGTGGAGTTATGAAAGTTTCTAGAAATGCTCTTATTGTTATGAAAGCTTGTAGGTCTGGTAGCTTGTATATTTTGCAGGGAACTACTATCACAAGCTCAGTTGCAGTCTCGTCATCATCATGGTCTGATTCTTTTCAGTTAAACTCTTCTACTCAAAGAATACCAGTAGATGGTCCTGAGTCTACTAACGAAGTTGCTCTAGAGGAAGAACAATATTCCATAGCCAATGATAGATCATGAAGAGATATTCGACCACCACAAATATATACAAATTTGGTTGCATATACTTTGTCTGTTGCAGAAGAAACAAGTGAAGTTGGTGAGCCTACTTCCTACTCAGATGTAATTTTTTGTGATAATTCCGCTAAGTGGTTGATCGCGATGAATGAAGAAATTGAATCTCTCCATCGGAAAAGAACTTGGGATCTTGTGAAGCCGCCTTCGAGTAAGAAAATTGTTGGATGCAAATGAGATATCATTGCTAAGGGAAAGGTCCTTGTTCAGAAAATTTATACGAAGGACAATCCAACTGATATGCTTACAAAGCCTCTTCCGGTTTACAAGTTCAAGCAGTGCTTGGACTTGGTTGGTGTTCATTATTGGTGATTGCCCGTTGGGGCTTTTATGAAGAAGGTGGAGCAAGTTTTGTTGGGACATGCCAAGGTGGAGATTTGTTAGTTTGGCAACTCCCATAGTCCCATGTCGAGAAAATCAGACTTGTTATCTCCTATTAGAACTATAAATAAGGGTCTGGACTTTGAAATCAGAGACACCACAAGAAAAACCTAAGTGTTTGCTTTGGGTTTAAGTCCATACTCAGTTAAATAGTTTGGGCTTATAGTTGAGGTTTTTTCTTGTTTAGTATTTTCGGGTGTTTTATGGCCTAGGAACATCTTCCTAATGCATTTGTAATAGTCCCTTTTGTAGTAGTGATTTGCTCCTCTTTCGTCCGTGGATGTAGGTCAAAGTCAATTGACCGAACCACGTAAATCTGGTGTTCTTGTCGCTTCTTTTATTCTTCTGCTTTATTGTCTTTGTTGGGTTACCAAAATTACCCTTTGGTAAATATCCTGAGGCTAGCTCTAACAGGAACGAGTAGGTGGCTTGGGTTGGTCTTGTTTTCTTCGTCGAGGTGACCTTGGAGTTAGAACTAATGGTGGTCGCTCCTACCGTGACCTCTTTCGCATCTTCTCGCACTTGAGATTATTATCTTGACAACTATGTATTGGTTGGCCCTCTAGAGGACCTCAGGTATAGTTATCAACGACCTCTTCACCAATGACCAAAAAAGGAGAGAAGGCCTATGCCCCATCATGAAGGTTTGAACCACGAGTGAGTGATGGATGAGTATCTTGTATGTCTCGAATTTTGTTGGTGAACTAGGCGACGAAATTGGAGAGTGTCTCTTCCTCCCACTGCCTAAATCCGAGCAACATTACTATCGATAACTTCGGGTGTACATTCTCGAGGAAGTAGAATTCAAACTTCTTTAGAAGCTGAACGAATGAGCCGACCAAGAGTGGCTTCAAACGAGAGTGCTACTCTCACGTCAAGGCTCTCAATGTAGGTAAGAACGCATGGCAATCAGAGCGTTCGAGATGCTATAGAGAGACATCTAGATGTGGAAGGCAGCAATGTGTTCAACCGAGTTGATACATCATCAAAGGCTTCCAACAATGAGAGGCAAAAGTTGGTCGAGATTGATTCCTCTTAAATGTTTTGGGTGAATAGAGATTGACTTGAAGTAGGATCGATCGGATTCTCCCCCTTGGGATGTTGAAACTCTCATCGCATCTCATCTAGGTATTGGTCAATTTGCCGTAGTTGGACATTTAGGGAGTCATATATTGAATCCATCAATTGGGTCTCAAATTGGGCCAAAGCAGAGTGATGGTGCGGTGGTGCATTAAACTCCATTGTTAGGGAGTGGGGAGTTTCTTTGGCTAGCAATTTCATGGACCTCGAGCGATCCTAAGATGCTAGCATCGCATTGGTTTGGAGATTATGATGGGTGCTAGTGTTAGTGGCAGTTGAGGCATCGTCCATGGCTACAGATGGCGACACCATTTGTTGGGTTAGCTGAGGCAAGAGTAGGGCAACAACTTGCAACATGCTTGTAAGTGTTTGCACCTGATTGGCAAGGTTCAGGAACATATCGACAAGAATGAGCATGTGGCTCGAGTTTATTCCTAAGGGTGGGGGGTCTAGGTTGTTGAACAAATGCCAGTGCCTCATCGATGTTTGTGCCAAGATGGACATATCGACATATGGGAAGGATGAGTATTGCTCTCTAGAGTAAAAGTGTTATGAGTTAGAGGCGAGGCCTCATCGCTGGAGCATTCGTTGAGAGTGTTGATAGGCAAACATTCCTGCGACATTGACCCTTCTTCTAACGCTAAACTTTAGGAAAAAATGTCACTGATATCTTAGTTAGCTCAATGTGGTCTGGACTCGTATGCGTAGGAACATCCAAAGTGTCTTTGGGTGGGCTTTGAGGTGGAGGTGTCGAGCTCCCAATGTGGCTTTGAGATAGATCCAAGGTGGCTCCAAGGTAGAAGTGTCAAACTCCCAAAATGGATTCAAGATGGAGGTGTCAAGCTGTCGAGGTGGCTCCAAGGTGGAGGTATCAAGTTCCTGAAATGGTTTCGAGGTGGAAGTATTATGCTCCTGAGGTGCCACCTACACAAAGACTAAGGTTAGGACCCGATCCCTCTAACACTTAAGTTAGTAATTCAATATCCCTAAATGTGGGCTAAATAGTTCGAGAAAGAAAAGAGTCCTTCATATTTTCTTATTTAGGATGTATTTTTATATCTTGAAGGAGAGGAAGGAAGTTTGTGATATCCTTTCTTGTTATAAAGGAAGATAAGAGAGTTTAAATTTTTTTTCATTTATCATAAAAGGAGAGAAGTAATTTTGTGATTGCCTTCCTTACCATAATGAAGGAGATGGAAGTTTGTTTTTATGAAGGATGATTTGGATGATATGACTGTCAGTTGATGATAGATTCCTAAAAGAGAAAATACCAAACACTATCAACTCACCATGACACCCAAGCAATGATGTGGGTAGAAGAACTCCCGCCTTCCCTCTACAATCACTTGCAGGAGAGCGATTCAATGATCCTTGCCCGTCTCGATCCTCGAAAAAGACTAACAAGATCCATTTATTATTTTTTGCCTACTACAAGCAAACTAACACCTCCAGCTTCAACTTTGGGAAGGCCCACACACACGATAACAAAGAGCATTAAAGTCCCGACAATGTGGTTCGACTTCCCCAACTCCTCTTTTTGGACGAATGTCATAGAGGACCATCCTCAACTTATCCCAAACAAGCTCAAAACTCTGATGAACCATGCTACCATGATCGCCCTTCCCTAATGCCACTCATCAGGGGGCATGCTATCAACTACCATCATTAATAAGCCCCCAAGCGACCTAAGGGGCACCCTAACCCATTGCTGGTCTTATGCCACCGGCTACCCAAGTATAAAAGTCATCCCCTGAACTCAGACAAAGGCAAGTGGGCTTCATCTAAACTCTTCAAAGCTCTACTAAACCCTCTTCACTTCTTTACTCACTTAATCATCATCGAAGGTGTTGAGTCGGGACATCCTCCGATGTTGATCGCTTGTGCAGAGTCCTCCTTGACAAGACCAAGGCGCATCTTGGGACGACACCGAACCCTCTTCAACAAATAAGCCGCACCTCGGGATGACCTTGGACCAGCCACCGTAAACTAGCAACGCCTCGAGAGTCCATATGTCACCTCAGCTTCCCGCTCGGATCATTCCCTTGTGACCCACATGATCTTCTTGGATGGGTCTATGCCTTCAGGATAGAATCAGATTATGCTAACTCTCCGATTAATGATACTCAGGCAATAACAATTCCCTATCGAAGTTAATAACATCGATGAAAGTATGTGACACGTTCAGATTCCCGGATGGGTACCGTGATTGGTTTGTTTTCGGCCCATTAGGCCATGAGATCGTCTCAAAGCCCAATACTTGTTGCGCAGCCCAACAACTTGCACGTGCAAAATCCACTAAGGAAATGTATGCGTTTGTCGTGTAATTTAAGCCCGTTCGCTCTGCTCGTCAACTCCCAAAAACATGGAGCAAATGAGCATTCGCATGCATGATGATGGCTTCAGGCTTTGGTTTATGGTGAAGAGAAGAAGAGAGAGAGGCCCGACCAAGTGTCGGAAATATGAAGGGGAAGAAAGTAACGGTTGCTCAACAATCCGGGTAAAACGCAATGGCTTGCGGGCGACAAAATTCTACAAAATTAGAAAGCCTGGGAGCAATATATAAGAGAAAAATTGGAAGCGTGAATCAATGAGCTCCTGCAACAACAATAGCATCCACAACCTCTTCGTCTCCTGCTAAGTAGCTTGAACAACATACCGAGGGCCAGAATGAGGAAGCCTGACTCCCCAATCCTTCTCTTCCTCCTCCTCCTCGCCTTCCTACTGGCTTCCATCTTTGCTGTTGATGCCCACGACGTCGTCTGCAAGTGCCAGAGAGTTCGCGGCCACCATCGAACCTCCCACTCCGGCCAAAACAGCAAGCAAAAGGGCGGTCAGTCGGACGGCAGAACCAGCAGCGACAATTCCGCTGTCGACTCCCACAACAGTGCTGGAACTGGGAACCAATCCTCCTCTTCTTCCTCATCCTCACAGTCATCGTCGTCCTCATCATCCTCATCCATGTCTCACAACAGTACCGGAGCCGGCAGCCAAACCTCCTCTTCACCGCCGCCATCGTCATCGG